AAGGGGACATGCTGTTTTAATTCTTTTTTATTTTACATTTTTTTTTTTGGCTTAAGTCCTTGGAGTCCTTTTTTTTTTTTTTTTTTTTCTCAATAACTTTTCCCCGGCCTTTTTTCTTGAGGGAGTGGTCAATAATTTTCCCCTGGCCCTTTTTCTTGAGAGGGGGTGTCAATAACTTTCCCCCTGACCCTTTTTTTGAGGAGATATCAATAACTTTCCCCCGGCCCTTTTTCTTCGGGGGGGTGTCAATAACTTTCCCCCGGCCCTTTTACTTCGAGGGGGGGGCTGTCAATAACTTTCCCCTGGCCCTTTTCCTTCCAGGGGGCTTCCAGGGTAACCGCTTCCCCGGCCCCCCGGCCTGCTTCCAGGGTAACCGCTTCCCCGGCCTCTCGGCCTGCTTCCAGGGTAACCGCTTCCCCGGCCTCTCGGCCTGCTTCCAGGGTAACCGCTTCCCCGGCCTCTCGGCCTGCTTCCAGGGTAACCGCTTCCCCGGCCTCTCGGCCTGCTTCCAGGGTAACCGCTTCCCCGGCCTCTCGGCCTGCTTCCAGGGTAACCGCTTCCCCGGCCTCTCGGCCTGCTTCCAGGGTAACCGCTTCCCCGGCCTCTCGGCCTGCTTCCAGGGTAACCGCTTCCCCGGCCTCTCGGCCTGCTTCCAGGGTAACCGCTTCCCCGGCCTCTCGGCCTGCTTCCAGGGTAACCGCTTCCCCGGCCTCTCGGCCTGCTTCCAGGGTAACCGCTTCCCCGGCCTCTCGGCCTGCTTCCAGGGTAACCGCTTCCCCGGCCTCTCGGCCTGCTTCCAGGGTAACCGCTTCCCCGGCCTCTCGGCCTGCTTCCAGGGTAACCGCTTCCCCGGCCTCTCGGCCTGCTTCCAGGGTAACCGCTTCCCCGGCCTCTCGGCCTGCTTCCAGGGTAACCGCTTCCCCGGCCTCTCGGCCTGCTTCCAGGGTAACCGCTTCCCCGGCCTCTCGGCCTGCTTCCAGGGTAACCGCTTCCCCGGCCTCTCGGCCTGCTTCCAGGGTAACCGCTTCCCCGGCCTCTCGGCCTGCTTCCAGGGTAACCGCTTCCCCGGCCTCTCGGCCTGCTTCCAGGGTAACCGCTTCCCCGGCCTCTCGGCCTGCTTCCAGGGTAACCGCTTCCCCGGCCTCTCGGCCTGCTTCCAGGGTAACCGCTTCCCCGGCCTCTCGGCCTGCTTCCAGGGTAACCGCTTCCCCGGCCTCTCGGCCTGCTTCCAGGGTAACCGCTTCCCCGGCCTCTCGGCCTGCTTCCAGGGTAACCGCTTCCCCGGCCTCTCGGCCTGCTTCCAGGGTAACCGCTTCCCCGGCCTCTCGGCCTGCTTCCAGGGTAACCGCTTCCCCGGCCTCTCGGCCTGCTTCCAGGGTAACCGCTTCCCCGGCCTCTCGGCCTGCTTCCAGGGTAACCGCTTCCCCGGCCTCTCGGCCTGCTTCCAGGGTAACCGCTTCCCCGGCCTCTCGGCCTGCTTCCAGGGTAACCGCTTCCCCGGCCTCTCGGCCTGCTTCCAGGGTAACCGCTTCCCCGGCCTCTCGGCCTGCTTCCAGGGTAACCGCTTCCCCGGCCTCTCGGCCTGCTTCCAGGGTAACCGCTTCCCCGGCCTCTCGGCCTGCTTCCAGGGTAACCGCTTCCCCGGCCTCTCGGCCTGCTTCCAGGGTAACCGCTTCCCCGGCCTCTCGGCCTGCTTCCAGGGTAACCGCTTCCCCGGCCTCTCGGCCTGCTTCCAGGGTAACCGCTTCCCCGGCCTCTCGGCCTGCTTCCAGGGTAACCGCTTCCCCGGCCTCTCGGCCTGCTTCCAGGGTAACCGCTTCCCCGGCCTCTCGGCCTGCTTCCAGGGTAACCGCTTCCCCGGCCTCTCGGCCTGCTTCCAGGGTAACCGCTTCCCCGGCCTCTCGGCCTGCTTCCAGGGTAACCGCTTCCCCGGCCTCTCGGCCTGCTTCCAGGGTAACCGCTTCCCCGGCCTCTCGGCCTGCTTCCAGGGTAACCGCTTCCCCGGCCTCTCGGCCTGCTTCCAGGGTAACCGCTTCCCCGGCCTCTCCCAGAGCAGCCCCCTTCCAAGCCACTCGTGGCCGGGACTGGTCCCCGCACAGCAGGGTCAGGGCTGGAGCATTCCCCCACCCTGGCTGTGGCCTGTCACGCTCCAGGTTACCCGGTTAAACTTAGCGTCTAAGCAGCTCCCATTGCAAAGGTGAATGAGCAGCCCCAGGGAAGCTCAGGTCGGATGGCAAACTGGCCGTTGCCTCCCCTTGTCCTCTGCGCTAACCCTCCGCTCTGTGCCTTGCCCCCAGATGCAGAGCGTCATGTACGACCTGATCGCAGAGCTCAACGACCGGAGCGAGGACTTGGAGAAGCAGATCGGCAGCCTGGAGTCCAAACTGGAGCAGCTCACCACGAGTTTCAACTCTCTGCCCCTGCTCATCGCCGAAACCCTGCGCCACCAGCAGCAGCAGCTCCTCGCGGCCCTCCTCGAGACTCGCGGCATCAGTCTGGTGGGGGGCCCCCCCCAGACGCCCCTGTCGGACAGTCCACTTGGGGTCAGCTCCACCTCCTTCCCCACCCCTTACACCAGTTCCAGCAGCTGCTGAAGTGCGGCTGAGCCCCTGCGCAGACGGACGGGAAGAGCTGCTCGTGGGTCTTCAGAGTCCAGTCGACTTTCTCCCGGCCCCAGGCCGCTGCAGGATCATCCGCGCCGGCGCTGGGAGCACGGCCAAACCGCTGCCATGGGGAGCGCCCCCTCGGGGTTCTCCGGCGCCGCAGGAGCAGAAACCTCTCCAGGGCAGGAGGAGGAAGCCTCCGGCACGGCCTTGCCACCCTGGCCGGTGGAGGGCGGAAACCCACGCTCAATCTCAGGTCTTCACATAGGAAACGGGCACGGCCTTGCCACCCTGGCCGGTGGAGGGCGGAAACCCACGCTCAATCTCAGGTCTTCACATAGGAAACGAACCAGTCTGGCGCGCGGCCGCGGCCTCGGAGGGGAGAGCGCCACAGAGCGGGCTGCGAGCCGGAGGGGGGGCTGCGTGCCTG